TTTTTTCAATATATGTCGACGTTTAAGAATACAGCGTTCTCATGCTTGTAGCAGAAACATACAAGAAAAACAATTGGTCCAGATCACTTATTAAAAACACTCAAGGAAAATCTCGATGGAGTCTCTCGCCTTATTCCCACTTTGAAACCCGGAGATAGAAAATATTTCATGCCCGGATTTTTTTAAATCTCTCAACACATCCAGAAACATTTATATGACTTTGCATTTCAAGGAAAATGTCAGGTCATCCAACACGTAAGATGTTATGAATGAGGTCGACTTTTTGTGAAATGAGGATTTAATATTCAAAAAGTCTACACCAGTCCCAATCAACTCTTCGTAAATTCGAGAATTTGAGATACCACCTCAATTTATTATCGTTATTCTTCTTCAACAGAGTAAAAAATGAGAACACATTTTTAAAAATTCCCTTGCTAAGGAAAGATGCGTCAAGAAATTGAGAAATTTCCAAAAATCTGTTATTGACACGTTGAGAAATTACCAAGTTCCCTTAACTGGACATCGTAGCAATAATTGGTGTTATGAACGTTGTACCGTTGTCATCGAAAATGTATATTCACTTGAATTCCAATCAAATCTCGTAAAAAGGAAACCATTCTTTTTTGCACAGAAACGAAAAGGCAACTAAAATTTTCTGCGTATTATTTTGAATGTACGATTTTTTTTAAATTTCCAAGAAAAAAAATGTTGCACCTCAAGAAAAATAAATGTTTTTTAGTAGGACAAGTCGTGTGACCTGTCAACAAAAATATCTCTATTATTACATCGTACGCATACAGAAATATAAAAATAATTTTGACTTCATAGTAAAATGCAAGCACATCTGCAAAACCATTCAAATCCCGTAAAATAAGGTAAAGTAAGAGGGCGAGTTTTTTTTTTGGCGATTATAAATCCGATTTTTTTTAAATTCGACACCATGCAGTTCGAATCAACCCTCAATTTTTTTCAGATACCACCCTAATTTTTTTTTAGTCCTGTTTGATGGAATACGAAACGAAACTATTTTTTTCCATTTCCTATGCTATGAAAATATTCTTTTTAGAAAATTGAGGAATTTTCAAACACCTTTTAATGACACCTGGAGAATTCAACCGAGCTCGAATTCAACCAAATCACTGAATAAGAAACCTTCCTCATTATCCTTCGCGCGCAAAATAAAAGGCAGCTAAAAAAAAATCTCACAGTACAGTTATAGGAATCAGGATTTCTTCAAAAATGTCCTTAAAAAATTGTGTACCGCTGAAGTAAAATAGGCAGTTTTGCAAAGTAGGAAGATTCGTATATCCCATCAGCGTGATGCGACAAAACAGACCACTTCCGCCCCCTTGCCGAGTTCCGGTCCTCGGTTAAAATCGGTGGCAAGAAGAAGCCGCCATGCCAGCAAGGCGGGTAATCGAATGACGGATCCCTCTGGCACAAGTGTGCCCGTGATGAGAGGGAGAAAAAGGGGGATCCCATGCACTCTTCTTCNAAGAGACCCTTTCTGAAATCTTGAAGGGTCAAGATAAACTGTTGGCCTTATATGATTTCTCATCAAAGATTCTCTCTAATTTGTTCATTCAGCTAAACCTCATACAGAAACAAGCTGAAGACCTTGTGCTTTCAAATAATTTTTACATATATTTTGTTTCCAATGTCAGGGAATGAATGGGTGTATGCTTACATGTCAGAAGTCCAGTTGTATTTCATGTTGTATTGTATTTTCTTTTATTTTTGCTATCAATTTGTGCTTTCCTGCTCTGAAGTGATTGAATGTCATTGAGTGGATTTGGGTTGGGTGGGAAGGGGGTTTTGTTGTGGAAATCTTGATTGAACCTTGTGAATGCTGAAAAGCGGCAAATAAAGTGTTCTGTTCATTCATTCATTCACGTAACTGCAGCAATAAGGTCTATGCATATAATGTGCTTGAATATTTTAAATACCTGCAATATCTGATCTCATTTTTTTGAATATTCAATTATTTGAATAATTTGATGCGCTATAATTTAATATTCCAAGAAAAGATCAAATTTGGTGGAACAGTTTTGCCAATTTGAGACTTCAGCGTGCACTTCCAGTCAGCGTAGAAAAACATTTTGCCGAATATGCAATCATTCTCACATGCTGGTTTGATGATTTTTAACTAGAAAATACGTCAGAAAAAATTTTTGATGAGATCAAAGAAAAACAGGGTTACAAAATTACCAAGCAACCGGCGGAACATGAAAAAATGACGACTTCAGAAGAAAATCGGTTCAATTCTACTTTTTTAAAAGCTTCCGGAAAATGGATTATACGGACGAAGGCAAAATAAATGGACATACATGGGAAGCGTTCAGCCATTAAATAATAAATTACATTAATAACGTAAGCAGAGTTTATTCCATCTGGTAAAAACAACGGCATAACAATTTTCAAAATGTCTCCTTGAATAATGATGTAGAATCCCCTTAATCCCCATAAATATCTAGTGGACTTCAAAGCAGTATGAGGTCACCGTATCAAGGACAGATTTGTCTGTGCATATTTTTTTTTCAATATATGTCGACGTTTAAGAATACAGCGTTCTCATGCTTGTAGCAGAAACATACAAGAAAAACAATTGGTCCAGATCACTTATTAAAAACACTCAAGGAAAATCTCGATGGAGTCTCTCGCCTTATTCCCACTTTGAAACCCGGAGATAGAAAATATTTCATGCCCGGATTTTTTTAAATCTCTCAACACATCCAGAAACATTTATATGACTTTGCATTTCAAGGAAAATGTCAGGTCATCCAACACGTAAGATGTTATGAATGAGGTCGACTTTTTGTGAAATGAGGATTTAATATTCAAAAAGTCTACACCAGTCCCAATCAACTCTTCGTAAATTCGAGAATTTGAGATACCACCCCAATTTAATTATCTTTATCCTTCTTCAACAGAGTAAAAAATGACAATACATTTTTAAAAATTCCCTTGCTAAGGGAAGATGCGGCAAGAAATTGAGAAATTTCCAAAAATCTGTTGACATGTTGAGAAATTACCAAGTTCCCTTAACTGGACATCGTAGCAATAATTGGAGTTATGAACGTTGTACCGTTGTCATAAAAAATGTATATTCTCTTGAATTCCAATCAAATCTCAAAAAATGAATCCATAATTTTTTCCACAGAAACAAAAAGGCAACTAAAAGTTTCTGCGTATTATGAATTAATGGACAGAACACTTTATTTGCCCCTTTTCAGCATTCACAAGGTTCAATAAAGATTTCCACATCCAAACCTCCTCCCCACACAACCCAAATCCACTCAAAGGCATTTAATCAGTTCAGAGCAGGAAACAGAGCACAAATGGATAACAAAAATAAAAGAAAATACAATCCACAAAATACAACTGGATATCTGACATGTATGCATACACCCATTCATTCCCTGGCATTGCAAACAAAATATCAGTAAAAATTAACTTAAAGCACAAGGTCTTCAGCTTGTTGCTGCATGAGGTTTAGTTGAATGAACAATTTAGAGAGAATGAGATATCATATATGGCCAACAGTTTATTTTGCGTATTATTTTAAATGTACAATTTTTTTTTTCAAAGAAAAAAATGTTGCACCTCAAGAATAATAAATGTTTTTAGTAGGACAAGTCGTGTGACCTATCAACAAAAATATATCTACGCATACAGAAATATAAAAATAATTTTGAATTCATAGCAAAATACAAGCCCATCTGCAGAACTATTCAAATTCTGTAAAATAAGATCAAGAAAGAGGTTGGTTTTTTTGTGGGCGATGAGAAATCTTTTTTTTAAGACGATGTCATGCAGTCCGAATCAGCTCTCAATTGTTTTTAGATATGACCACCCTAATTTGTTTCATTTTTATTCGTCTTGGACGGAATACAAAACGAAAATATTTTTTTCGTATCCTATGCTTTGAAAATATTTTTTTATAAAATGGAGGAATTTCCAAATACATTTTAATGGCAGCTGGAGAAATCAACCAAACTTGAATTCAACCAAATCTCCGAATAAGAAACCTTCCTCATTTCCCTTGCCGCGCAAAATAAAAGGCGCAGCATAGTTTGGATTCAGGATTTCTTCGAAAAGTGTCCTTAAAAAATTGTGTACCGCTGAAGTAAAATAGGCAGTTTTGCAAAGTAGGAAGATTCGTATATCCCATCAGCGTGATGCGACAAAACAGACCACTTCCGCCCCCTTGCCGAGTTCCGGTCCTCGGTTAAAATCGGTGGCAAGAAGAAGCCGCCATGCCAGCAAGGCGGGTAATCGAATGACGGATCCCTCTGGCACAAGTGTGCCCGTGATGAGAGGGAGAAAAAGGGGGATCCCATGCACTCTTCTTCCTATATACTTGCACGGATCCCCCGCGCACAATATATAACAAGCAACGGGACGCGAGCACGAAGCAGACGATAAAGATCCGCTTCCAGCACACATCATCATCAGCAGCTGAGAGAGAAAACAGCATCATTGCTAAGGCCAGTTTGTGTTGCATGCTACCACCACTGGCTACTGTAGCAGATACCACTGCTGCTGCTGCTGCTGCTGCTACTGCTGTGGACAGGAGAATATAAGGAAAGATGGGTGGGAGGAAGGAAACGAGCCGTTGATTGCATGTGAAAGGAGGCATTTTCCCAGAGAGAACTTCTTCATTGCGGGCATTTGCTGTTGCTGCTGTCGACCAGGGGCTTCCCGTTTCATCTCCTTCTGGTTACACCACCCCCCCCCCCCGCCGTTCTTCTTCTCTCAGGGCCACTTCCAGTTCCACCACAAAACAGGCAAAGGTCGACTGCTAAGTTCTACAAATATAACGTTTTAGGGCAGGAGGTATATTAATTCATCTCCTTCTGGTTACCCCCCCCCCCCCCCCCCGCCGTTCTTCTTCTCTCAGGGCCACTTCCAGTTCCACCACAAAACAGGCAAAGGTCGACTGCTAAGTTCTACAAATATAACGTTTTAGGGCAGGAGGTATATTAACTTTTATTCAAATTTTACACTTGCTCAGTCAAAGTAGGAGACTAAGAAAAAAAAAAATATATATCTATATATATACACTATAGATAAGAATTTATCATGTATATAAATATATATATAACCATGAAAAATGCCACTCTGAGGGTGGTGCATATAGTTGCAGAAACAAACTTACATGTTTTCAACTCTGGGGTTTAAAAAAATGCACTGCACGCCATTTCCTTATTCATATTCAGATTATATTAATGCAGTCTAAAGAATACCCATATCATCCAGTCATAACATGAAAATTACCGTATTTACTCCAGTACCACGCGCCCTCAAGTAAGGTGCACACAGGGTTTTTTCAATTTGAAATTTGGCTAAAATCTTATCCCCAAGTATGACTTGCACCCCAATTTTTAGTAAATCTAAAACCACAAAATTTTGAAAATAGAAACAAAAGGTTTGACTTTAGACATGAATTTAACAAAAATCTGACAAATTTTTAACTTTTTCAGTACAAAAAAGTTATCTTGTCACTCTTTTCAGAATTTCTCCATTATGATTAAGGATAATGCACATAGAACTTTCTAAAACTTCTTGAAAAATTTGTACCTGCTTATGACGCACACCCCTTTTTCTCTTCTGAAATTTGAGAAAAAGGTGCGCAGGGTACTTGAGTAAATATGGCATATTAACATTTCAGTAAACTCAGTCATTACATAAGGTACTTCCAAAATTATTGTGCAATTTGAACTTCTATTGGAGATCAAAGAGATTCAAAACAAATTTTGTATTTAGTACGCCCATGTCACTCACTATAGGTCTGACATATACAAAGAATATCTTTTTATTGAGAATGAGAACCAATTTTCTCGGTATGAAAAGCATGTGCTGCAGGCTCAAAGAGTTTGCAAGATTCCTGATAATTTTATTCTTCATTGCTCAAGTGCATTTTTTCCAATCTATCAATTATATTGCAAGTGGTCAGAAATTGGAATCATTTTCCTTCTTTAATTATAGGGAACATAATGTCACATGCAAGAAGCATCATATTGAACTAGCCCAGTTTTTTCTTCATATTGCCAAGTACCAAAAGGGTGCCCCTGGTTTATTTTTCATTGAGTTACTGGCTAAACTTAGCACTTTTAGCACTTCTTGTGTTTTTCTGTTAATTGATTGCCTAATATTATGCTTTATTCTTTCAGCTAAAATTAAGCAATCCATTAAGCAATACAATCCTTTAGGATATCGTGACTTGCAGAACAATAGCCTCAGCAGGCAATTAACCATTAATTCCATCAACCTTGGCGTATTGCTTCATTTCCTTAAGGGCTCACAGAAATCCAATGAAGGAAAAGTCAACTGTCCCCCAACCACAAGCAAATATTCCAGAAAAAGAATTTGCAAAAATGCATATGTACAGTAGAACTGTGTTGCAAAAAAACAATTTTATTTTGAATTCTTGTTCTCATGAGAGTAAAATACATTTTGTTCAGAAAAGATTCTTGAATTCAATATATATCAAGAACAAATTCTTCCTTACACATTCAAACTTCTCTGAGTCAAATTTCAAGGGACCAGCAACAAATTTGATTAAGGGAGGATTTGACTGAGAGGTCTACAGTTAGAGAGATTTAGAGTTAGGAAGACAAGCATTTTTCTTGTGGGAAACATGAAAGAATTGCAAGAAATTATTGTACTGTAAATGGTGATACAGTACAAGTATTCTGGGCCTTGAATTGGTTCTTGAATGAGTTTACAGGATGCTGAACTTGGATGCAAGGGTTCATTTGTCCAATTATTCTTTCAATTCCTTTAAGAATGCATCAATCCTTTTTTATTTTTCTCTTTCCTGTGTCAAAAAAATAACATCCAAAAGGATTCAGAAAGTTTGAGTCATGGGGGTTTGCAAGGAAAAGCCTTTGAGTTGAAGAGGTTTTAATGCATCAAGTCTGAGGGCATTCAGATGGGAACCTAAAAATAAATTCAATAAGGGGGGGGGTTGAGTTATTGAGGTTCAACTACTGTATATACAAAATGATAGCTTATTTGGTCTCTGCTGTATACAGTAAAAAAAATTGGGATTTTCAATTTTAATTATATATTTGTGCAATTGAGGTTCCAGGTCCCATGAGCAATTGCTGATAAGTTGTAACAAGACTCAGGTACTTCTTAACCCTTGGATGGCGGCAGCCTCCTTTCCATCCCAGGGCAAAGTCGGACTTTTTCCTGATGGGTGGGCATTATATTTTTGCACAAGGTTTTGCTACCCCTGCCAGGTGGGGGAGGGCGAAGTCGGATTTTTTCCAGGGATAATGAAATTCTGGGAAAGTCCTGAGTCGGACTTTTTCTGTATTGACCTCCAACCTGGGCTCCTGGCTTTCAAGCTTAAATTTAATATTTGAATGGGGAAACAACACAAGGCCAGGGAAAAAGGGAGCCTTGAAGCTTTCATTTTTTCATTTTCAGATGAAATTTTTCTGTGGAAAATTTAAAAAAAATGCCAGGATTTTTCCAGACTTTGCCCTGCACATACTGTTGAGGTTTTTTTTAATTCCACTCTGGAGTGCCACAAAAATCTGCAAAAAAAGTCTGACTTAGCCGCAGAAGGGTTAAACCCCAAACAATAAAAAAAATTTCAGGGGCAACAACAACAGCATACACACACAAACACACACAAATCTCACAGAACTTCATGTTGGCCCCAAATCCCGCAGTATTCCTCCTTGGGGAACATGGCGCTAGAGCAAAGCACTCATGCGACTGCTGGCCCACCAACCACCCGCAAATTTGGCCCTGCTAAGTTCCCTTTCCCACTTGATCCTCATCATCCCCAGCTATCCGGATAAAACGCGCCGCAGAATAACATAATCTCCCGCTCTCAATAATGCATTTCCACCAAAGGAACGCTTGCTTTCATGTCTCTCGGATGCAGCATCCGCTTCGGCAAACCACCATAAATGCGAAATGTACCTTGGAACTGTGCTCCATGTTCGGAATATGATTCACATGCATTCCCTCGAGGGCCTTGGACCAATGAGAAGTTCCCTGTCTCCGATTTTCCAACGAATTTCGAGGCTTTAACGCGAACGTTAAGTAGGAAGCCTGCAGGGGGGGACTGCGTAAATTTTTTAGTTAATTTACAGTATGTATAAATGACATGTAATTTTGGAGATTCCGGGCTCCTGGTGGAGATTCAACACTCACTTCTTTGAATATGTACGCTTACTAAAAAAAAACATTCAGAACTGTTCTAATACCAGTGTTACATAAAATTGACTTCCTCTGATTTCTTTCTGGAAATAAAATAAATATTCAATATTCATTGAACAAATATTTATGAATATACAGTCAACCCCAGTCTAACGGACTTGATTTGTGCAAGGGACAAGTCTGTTAGACAAAAAGTCCTTTACACAAATTCAATTACATAAAAAATTAAAAATTTCAATTTTCAACACTAATTTTAAACCAAAAGAAGTCTGTTTGGCGGATTTTGTCTGTTGGGCGGGAGGAAAAACTGCTTGCAGAGCTGGTCTGTTTGGCAAAAATCCCTTACACAGGAGGTCTGTTAGGTGGGGGGCCACTGTATACTTATGGAATTCCATCCTGGGGCTGTGCCAGGAATTTTTGCATGATTGTGCATTTTGGTTTGACCAAAGGTTGCTGAAATAAAGATTTCTCTGAGTAGCCAAAGTCCAGAAAAAATTTGGGAAGGTAAACCTGTTGTGTCTGAAATCTCTCAATGCTAATCCTACGAAATAAATGTGAAAAAATGCCACACAGCAGCTAGGGTTAAGGGAAATTTTCTGTCAAAAAAATCAGAATTTTTTCTGAAAATTAGAAATATGAATAGGATAGTGTTGGAAATTATAAGTACAAATTGAGAAGAAGATATATTGTTTAAGCTTCTGAAAGAAACCTAATCCTTCAGGAATCCCATGAGACCAAGTTTGACCTCAAGTTCCCACAAGTTTTTTTTNGGGGGGGGGGGGACTGCGTAAATTTTTTAGTTAATTTACAGTATGTATAAATGACATATAATGTTGGAGATTCCGGGCTCCTGGTGGAGATTCAACACTCACTTCTTTGAATATGTACCCTTACTAAAAAAAAATCAATCAGAACTGTTATAATACGAATGTGACATAAAATGGACTTCTGATGGTTGTTTTTTGGAAATAAAACAAATATTCAATGTTCATTGAACAAATATTTATGAATATATATTTATGGAATTCCATCCTGGGGCTGTGCCAAGAATTTTTGCATGATTGTGCATTTTGGTTTGACCAAAGGTTGCTAAAATAAAGCTTCCTCTGAGTAGCCAAAGTCCAGAAAAAATTTGGGAAGGTAAACCTATTGTGTCTGAAATCTCTTAATGCTAATCCTATGAAAGAAATGTGAAAAAATGCCACACAGCAGCTAGGGTTTAGGAAATGTTTTTTACTGTAAAAAATTAGAATTTTTTATACTTTGTCTCTCTTGTGATCATCTCTGCTTCTTCTCATTTTTGAATGCCTTGTGGCACAACATTTTGCAAATAAATCCCAGCACCGTTGCCCAAGGGTTAATACACATTTTTGAAAATTAGAAATATGAATAGGATAGTGTTGGAAATTATAAATACAAATTGAGAAGAAGATATATTGTTTAAGCTTCTGAAAGAAACCTAATCCTTCAGGAATCCCATGAGACCAAGTTTGACCTCAAGTTCCCACAAGTTTTTTTTAATATCCTTGGGACTTCCTCAGATCTTTCAGTCCTCAAGGACATAATTTCTCTGAGAAAAGTTTCTTGCTGTCTAAATTTCTAGATTTGGCATCAGTTGTATTTTGGCAGTCTCATGCAAAAGACGTCAAACTCTTGTTTGCATTTGATTGCTTCAAAAACCTTGTTCTTTGTCAAATACAGTGAGACCCCAAGATGCAGACATAATTGGTGCATCAAGAGTGTCCCCAAGTCAAAATGTTCCTAAGTCAAGTATTGTTTTCCCATAGACTCACATTGTATAGTTTTTAAATGGTGTTTTGTGGAAGAAATTTTCTTCAGAATTCCCTGAAAGAAATTGTTTGCCACTTGAATTTGAATTAATGAATACATTTTCAACTCAATAAGAACATTTGAAGCATTGAATAGTGTATCTCTGTACTGCACACTGAAATGTTGGCATATAATAAAATAACATTCAAGTGAAAAAAGAAGTCCCTCATCTATGCTGGAGGTAATTTTTTTTAATTAGCTAAATGGATGATAATTTGGTGATAGAAATGCCCAAGAACTTTTCTTACATCAATTTTAGGGTTGGAAATATCAGTTTCTTGTAATTAGGCCTGAAATTTATTTGCAATTTTATCACAAAATGTCCATATGTCAAGTCAGTGTCCTCATATTGGGACATTTTTATTAATTTTTTCTGGGAAAATAAGTGTCCCTATGTTGAATTGTCCACAGGTCAAGGCATCTGCATTTGCGGGTCTCACTGTATACCAACCTTACACAAGGGTGTCAAGCACCCTGGCCATAGCCTGGCTGATCACTGTTTTCTTTAAAAAAAGAGTGATTCAAAATATTTCTGTCACAAAACACTTGAAAAATGCTCTGGAACTTTCAAGTCTTGACCTTCAATCCACATTTTCATTGACCCTCACGCATTTGCTCAACGTTATCACGTTAAAACAAGGCCCAAGCCTTTAAAGTATCACAATTCAGAAAAAAAATTTATTAAAAAAAGGAAACCCCGATCAAACGGACAAGACAGGCAGAGGAAGCAAAAAGACAAGAGAGAATTTGATGGTAGGATAGGATAAGAAGGGGCAGCTCGTTCGTACCGCGGAGGAGTGCATGCAGGTAATCCTGCAGTTCATGCACCCAAAAAAAAAGGGCGATCCGACCCCAAAAAAGGGTCCGCCGGGATTCCTTTGTCTGGGGCAGGGCCTGGGTTTTCACGTGAATTTGCATGCCAAAAGTGTCGTCCTCATTTTGGGGACACACTTTCAGCCTGCAAGTTCGCGCCCTCCAAAAGTTCTCGCATTTTAGCATTTATTAGGAATAGATCCGCAGGGTTATTTAAAATTATGTTTTCATGTTAATGTGCTGATATAAAAATAAAATAAAGAAAGTCCACATAAAAAGGAAGCCATCCTTTGAGGGCCACAATGAGGGAAATAAATTAACTCCTCTACAAATTTTAAAATTTTAGACTCTTCTGAATTAAAAATGAGATTTTAGGTTTAAAAGTCAGGAGGATAACATGTGACAGGAAGTAATTCTTTTCCCAGCAGAATTCAAGCTAACTCTCACGTAAATTTTTTTGTACATTTATAATGTTATGTATTAAAAAATACTGGTACACTAAGCAGCTGTTGAAGTTAATTCAGGGAATGATAATAAAATGGAGACCAAGAAGAAAATTTCCCAAGGAATGCCTTGCACATTTTTCCTGATTTGGTTTACCACAAATTTCTGCCTTAAAGGAGGAGGGAATCTAACAAATGAAGTTGTTCCAGGAATTAATTCCAAAATGCCTCAAAAAGATATGTGAAGGGTACAATATACTGTACTGTAATTCAAGCACAGTCTATATTGCCATTTTTATGTTCATAAATCTCTTAATGTTACACTTTTTGAGCTGCAATTGCTGCAAAAATGTTGAGGCTGGGAGTGCAGNTTTTTGCATGATTGTGCATTTTGGTTTGACCAAAGGTTGCTAAAATAAAGCTTCCTCTGAGTAGCCAAAGTCCAGAAAAAATTTGGGAAGGTAAACCTATTGTGTCTGAAATCTCTTAATGCTAATCCTATGAAAGAAATGTGAAAAAATGCCACACAGCAGCTAGGGTTTAGGAAATGTTTTTTACTGTAAAAAATTAGAATTTTTTATACTTTGTCTCTCTTGTGATCATCTCTGCTTCTTCTCATTTTTGAATGCCTTGTGGCACAACATTTTGCAAATAAATCCCAGCACCGTTGCCCAAGGGTTAATACACATTTTTGAAAATTAGAAATATGAATAGGATAGTGTTGGAAATTATAAATACAAATTGAGAAGAAGATATATTGTTTAAGCTTCTGAAAGAAACCTAATCCTTCAGGAATCCCATGAGACCAAGTTTGACCTCAAGTTCCCACAAGTTTTTTTTAATATCCTTGGGACTTCCTCAGATCTTTCAGTCCTCAAGGACATAATTTCTCTGAGAAAAGTTTCTTGCTGTCTAAATTTCTAGATTTGGCATCAGTTGTATTTTGGCAGTCTCATGCAAAAGACGTCAAACTCTTGTTTGCATTTGATTGCTTCAAAAACCTTGTTCTTTGTCAAATACAGTGAGACCCCAAGATGCAGACATAATTGGTGCATCAAGAGTGTCCCCAAGTCAAAATGTTCCTAAGTCAAGTATTGTTTTCCCATAGACTCACATTGTATAGTTTTTAAATGGTGTTTTGTGGAAGAAATTTTCTTCAGAATTCCCTGAAAGAAATTGTTTGCCACTTGAATTTGAATTAATGAATACATTTTCAACTCAATAAGAACATTTGAAGCATTGAATAGTGTATCTCTGTACTGCACACTGAAATGTTGGCATATAATAAAATAACATTCAAGTGAAAAAAGAAGTCCCTCATCTATGCTGGAGGTAATTTTTTTTAATTAGCTAAATGGATGATAATTTGGTGATAGAAATGCCCAAGAACTTTTCTTACATCAATTTTAGGGTTGGAAATATCAGTTTCTTGTAATTAGGCCTGAAATGTATTTGCAATTTTATCACAAAATGTCCATATGTCAAGTCAGTGTCCTCATATTGGGACATTTTTATTAATTTTTTCTGGGAAAATAAGTGTCCCTATGTTGAATTGTCCACAGGTCAAGGCATCTGCATTTGCGGGTCTCACTGTATACCAACCTTACACAAGGGTGTCAAGCACCCTGGCCATAGCCTGGCTGATCACTGTTTTCTTTAAAAAAAAGAGTGATTCAAAATATTTATGTCACAAAACACTTGAAAAATGCTCTGGAACTTTCAAGTCTTGACCTTCAATCCACATTTTCATTGACCCTCCCCTCAGTCATTAGCTCAATGTTACCACATTAAAACGAGGACCAAGCCTTGAAGGTATCACAATCCAAAAAAAAATTTTAATGAAAAAAAAGAAACTCTGATCAAACGGACAAGACAGGCAGAGGAAGCAAAAATACAAGAGAGAATTTTACGGTAGGATAGGATAAGAAGGGGCAGCTCGTTCACGGCTGGATGCACCTTTCAAGGGGGGTTTAGCCAATAACTCTTGTTGGGATGCCTTCAGATGGAAATAGCACCGGACTCTTTCGCCATTGGATCTGATGGCAAGCCATGTACAAAAACCTCAACTCAGTTCTACATCAAATCCACATGTATTTTTTGCTCATCCCCTCGAATGCCATTCTCTTATATACCCCATACTCCTGACCTCGTGCTCTTTAAAAAAAATGTGAGTTTTCAAAGGCCTCTGGAGCAAATATTATTCCAGGTAAGTTCACAAGGTGCCTGTGTCTTCGAGGTAATTTTGTTCCAATTTTTAGAATTTAAATTTAACGAGTTTAAGAGCATCGCATTCCTTCGAATATAATTTTTACCTTATGAATATTTCCCCTGCAAAAATCTGCACACCAAACATAAGGAAGCGCCTTTATTTCATATGATGATTGATTATACATTTGAACTCTCTCTAGAATGAAATTCTAGGGACCAGATAAAAAATTGATGCAGAGGGAATTTAGTTTTAGAGATCCCCAATAATACAGGCACAGATCCCTAGTACAAAAAAAAATTTCGTTGCGAGGAGAAAATCTTCGTAGACATAATCGTTTTAAAGAGAGCCCACCTGTTTTTAAAAATTTACAAGGAAAGTCTAGACTCTAGAGTTACTTGAGTGAAAACAATATGTACTCCGCCTGTATTTTGAAAATATTGTAAAATTTTTCGGCATTAAAAGATTATTCTCACTTTATTTAGTAGTTGATGATATGCTGCTATGAGGAAAAACGTCGAAATCTCTTTTTGGGCTTTTACATTTTTTGGTATGGAAAATAAAGCGGATAAGAAAAATATTTTCGATTTAATGATTTCCCGAAGCACAAGTAACATTTTTTTAAATCTCTTTCATCATCATCAGTTAACATTAAATTAATAAAACCATTATCTTCGATGCTTTTCAGGGTGATCAAAAGGACGCAATCATTTTGAGCAAAAACGTCCTTTCCTTCATTTCCAACCTCGTCAGAAATACACATTGTCAATTCGTTAAAATTTGTGGAAATTTTCCGTGAACAAGGATGCGATGTCGTCGAAAAATGAGAGTTGATTAGATCTTTGCATCACTTCGAGGATGAGGTAGGCATAAACCAAGAGCAAAAATAAGGTGATGACTGTGAGAACGCAAAACATGATGACCAAAGCGGGGTCGTCATTTAGTCCAAGTGTCGAAAGCCACGAAAGGAAACCCGTTTGAGTGACGTCGTCATCAGTATCGGGTCTCAATTGGTTACTCCATCTGTCATAAATGACAGAGTTCCATGATTCAGATGTCTTCGGATGATTCGTGTCGTTTCGACGACGGCGTAAAAGTTGGAATGGACCATGTGTCCGGGAAGCATCTGGATGAAAGATATTTTCTGAAATAATTTTCTAATCATTTTTTTGTTCCTGGATTTCTAAATGGGTCTCGGAAGGAGGGGCCAGGATATATTTTGAGAGACGAAATTTTCCTACAGTTTTTTCTTTTTAATTGTTGCCTTGTTTTCTGGTCAATAATGAAAAAGATTTTCTTGGACAGCAGAAATATATAGCCGGGTATTTTCGGGAAATCTGTTACCTGAAGACTTAGCTTTTTTTTAAACCAAAGCTATAGTGCATTTATTGAATGCAACCATGTTTCAGCTTTCCAATCTGAGCGCAGAACATTTATTTCCAAAAGTCAGCATTTTTGGGATTCCTTCCATCCCACGTGATTGACATGGGGATGGAGAGGTCTTCAGAAAAAAATTAGGCAAAACCCAGCCAATTATTTTTAAACCTTCTGATCAAAAGCTATTTCAGATTCACCAGTTCCGTGGATTCATCGTAATAATGTTTTGCCACTTTATAAATGAATAAAGCAGTGTTACGCAAACTTTTCAGGCCAAGAAATGGCAAAATTCCAAAAAATGTTTTACAGACCAGCAAATAAAAAAAAATTCTGTGGACCAGCAAAGTTTCAAAACATTTTTGCAGGCTCAAAAAAGTTTTGCTTGAAAGACTCGATATAGCAGATACAGTATTTAAAAATATCCTGCTTTTTTGCAAAAAGTAACTCTTGCGCGGCAAAGTTGAGATATTTTTGCAAAATTTTGTGTCACTGAGAACTGGGAATTTAGAAAATACAACTTCTGTACAAAGGCCTAAGTCAGGAAAAATTCCAAATTTTTTTCTAATCCAGCAGAACATTTTTCATGCATAATATAAAAAATCCCTCACTGGGTGGCGTTTTTCCTACATTCTTGATACAGGGTTAGGATGGAAGATTCCTGAAAACAAAAGCAAATTTTTCTCCTAAATTTTTTCCAACTAAGGCCATCTCAACCTGGGAGAATTTCAGCTACTAGCTTGGGTCAAACTGAAATGCTCCAACTCCCAAATATATCCCAACTTTGCCTCACAATGGAAATGAACCCTCCACCAGCCAAGGGTTTAGTCAAGAACTAATGAAGCAGCTATAGTGGAATGTTTTCAAAAAATAAAGAAATTTTGGGTGTGAAGAAAGGTTTCTCAGACTGGAAGATTAATATAATTTATTGCAACAGGTGAAAAGTTGAAAATAACTTGTCCAAAGTGTTACTTGGAAAAAAACCCAACTTTTATTTTCAGCAGATAATTTCAATTGCAATTGCCTCTCCAAAATTTTAGGCAGATATAACAGACTACACTGCAACTTTTGATGAATTTATTATGTTAAAGAATATTTTCTATAGACTGGCAAAAAACTTCTCTGCTGGACTCAGAAGCCACAAAGAACCATCTATAAAATTTTAAAATAGACTATGAAATATCACCTTATTTTGAAGATTTATGCAAAGAAACTCACTGCTTCCTCCTCCACAAGACATAATTCCATTGATCGTTTTGCCCTCAATGAAAGGTCCAGGTGTGCTGAAAGATTTCTTTTGTATCAACATTCTACTGTTCAAAGGTGGCATCTTCATCCTCAACTCCTTGGGTCCAATGTAGCAAGACTCATTTACTTCTAATGTATGTTGCCCTTCATCCCGTTGATTGTCAGGGGAATCACCTGCGTGATTTTCTTCCTGGAAATTTATATTGTCGTTTGTTGGGCGATTTTCAGCCATGCTTCTTGAATCGCTTTCGCAAATTGGTGACTGATGTCTAGATCATTTAAACTTGAAGCTTCAATACGCAATGCATTTGCTCTGAAAAAATAATGATATTCTCATGTGTCGGTGTACTATAGTAATAGAGTAAGAGATTAATTATAATTCGTCAGTTTTATTGTGGGGCAACGACTGATGAAGGTACTTCGCCATCGGAAATTAAATACTCCTACAATCTGCTTGAAATCCGATTATGTATTTCCTTAGAGTACATGATATTTAGTTAACTATCGAAATAATATTTGTATACTTGTATTCACGATACTCATTCAAGATACAGTACTGTATCTGCTTTATTCCGAATTATATTTGATTTCATAATGCGAGATTTAGTTGATGTTTCATTAAAACTCACTTTAATTTATAAATTATATAAGTTCACGAAATAACTACGAAATATTCAAAGAATGAACGAAGCTTTCAAATTTTAAGCTGTGATTAATTCAAGACAGTTGAACCTCCGTCAAATTGAACATTCCTGATGAGACAAAATATCTTAACATTCCTGAGTCAAACTATAAACATTCCTGAGTCAAATTGTAAACATTCCTGAGTCAAAATCTCTTCACATTTCAGAGTCAATAAATCTTTAAAATATTCTAAATTCCAGGTCATACTTGACCGAATCCCTTCAATTCAATTTAATTTAAGTTCAATACAATTTAAATCTCTCTGATTTGCAAATTTTCTGGTGGAGCCTCCCGTATTCAAATTTCAAAATATTTTTGTTATTGAATATAAACTAAATTTCTGAATATTCTGGAGAACAAGAGCAAAACATTAAAACATTTGTTTTATTCTCTTCAAATGGGATAAGACCTATTCTGGCAGTTATACGACATCCATGAGTAGTGAAAATTTGCAAAAAGTTGGACGGAAAAAAAGGAAACCCGTTTGAGTGACGTCGTCATCAGTATCGGGTCTCAATTGGTTACTCCATCTGTCATAAATGACAGAGTTCCATGATTCAGATGTCTTCGGATGATTCGTGTCGTTTCGACGACGGCGTAAAAGTTGGAATGGACCATGTGTCCGGGAAGCATCTGGATGAAAGATATTTTCTGAAATAATTTTCTAACAAATTTTTTTGTTCCTGGAATTCTAAATGGGTTTCAGAAGAAGGGGCCAGGATATATTTTGAGAGACGAAATTTTCCTACAGTTTGTTTTTAATTCTTGCCTTGTTTTCTGGTCAATAATGAAAAATATTTTCTTGGACAGCAGAAATATAGCCGGGTATTTTCGGGAAATCTGTTACCTGAAGACTTGGCTTTCTTTTTTTTAAACCAAAGCTAGTGCATTTATTGAATGCAACCATGTTTCAGCTTTCCTATCTGAGTGCGGAACATTTATTTCCAAAATTCAGCATTTTGGGGGTCCTGCCATCCCACGTGATTGACATGGGGATGGAGAGGTCTTCAGAAAAAATTAGGCAAAACCCAGCCAATTATTAGTAAACCATCTGATCGAAAGCTATTTCAGATTCGCCAGTTACGTGGATTCATCGTAATAATGTTTTGCGACTTCATAATTGAATAAAGCAGTGTTACGCAAACTTTTCAGGCCAAGAAATGGCAAATTTCCAAAAAATGTTTTACGGACCAGCAAATAAAAAAAATTCTGTGGACCAGCAAAGTTTCAAAAAATTTTTGCAGGCTCAAAAAAGTTTTGCTTGAAAGGCTCAACGGCAGACATTTAAAAATATTCTGCTTTTTTTGCAAAAATTAACCTTTGTGTGGCAAAGTTGAGATATTTTTGCAAAATTTTGTGTCACTCAGAACTGGGAATTTAGAAAATACAACTTCTGTACAAAGGCCTAAGTCAGGAATAAGTCTGAATTTGTTTCAAATCCAGCAGAACATTTTTCATGCAAAATAAAAAAATCCCTCACTGGGTGGCATTTTTTTCCTGCATTTTCTTGATGCAGGATTAGAATGGAAGATTATAAAAACAAAAGAAAATTGTTCTCCCAAATTTTTCCCAACTAAGGCCTTCTCAACCTGGGAGAATTGCAGCTACCTTGGGTCAAACTGAAATGCTCCACCTCCCAAAAATCTCCCAACTTTGCCACACAATGGAAATGAACTCTCCACCATCCAAGGGTTAAGTCAAGAACTAATGAACCAGCTATAGTGGAATGTTTTCAAAAAATTGAGAAATTTTGGGCGTGAAGAAAGGTTTCTCAGACTGAAAGATTAATATAATTTATTGCAACAGGTGAAAAGTTGAAAATAACTTGTCCAAAGTGTTATTTGGAAAAAAACCCAACTTTTATTTTCAGCAGATAATTTCAACTGCAATTGTCTCTCCAAAATTTTAGGCAGATATAACAGACTACACTGCAACTTTTGATGAATTTATTATGTTAAAGAATATTTTCTACAGACTGGCAAAAAACCTCTCTGCTGGACTTAGAAGCCACAAAGAACCATCTATACAATTTTAAAATAGACTATGAAATATCACCTTATTTTGAAGATTTATGCAAAGAAACTCACTGCTTCCTCCTCCACAAGACATAATTCCATTGATCGTTTTGCCCTCAATGAAAGGTCCAGGTGTGCTGAAAGATTTCTTTTGTATCAACATTCTACTGTTCAAAGGTGGCATCTTCATCCTCAACTCCTTGGGTCCAATGTAGCAAGACTCATTTACTTCTAATGTATGTTGCCCTTCATCCCGTTGATTGTCAGGGGAATCACCTGCGTGATTTTCTTCCTGACAATTTATGTTGTCGTTTGTTGGGCGATTTTCAGCCATGCTTCTTGAATCGCTTTTGCAAATTGGTGACTGATGTCTAGATCATTTCTACTTGAAGCTTCAATACGCAATACATTTGCTCTGAAAAAATAATGATATTTTCATGTGTCGGTGTACTGTAATAATAGAGTAAGAGATTAATTGTAATTCGTCAGTTTTATTGTGGGGCGACGACTGATGAAGGTACTTCGCCATCGGAAATTAAATACTCCTACAATCTGCTTGAAATCCGATTATGTATTTCCTTACAGTACACGAGATTTAGTTAACTATTGTAATGATATTTGTATACCTGTATTCACGTTTCTCATTCAAGATGCAGTATCTGCTTTATTCCAAATTATATTTAATTTCATCATGCGAGATTTAGTTAATGTTGCATTAATACTCACTTTAATTTATAAATTATATAAGTTCACGAAATAACTACGAAATATTCAAAGAATGAACGAAGCTTTCAAATTTTAAGCTGTGATTAATTCATGACAGTTGAACCTTCGTCAAATTGAACATTCCTGAGACAAAATATCTTAACATTCCTGAGTCAAACTATAAACATTCCTGAGTCAAATTATAAACATTCCTGAGTCAAAATCTCTTCACATTTCAGAGTCAATAAATCTTTAAAATATTCTAAATTCCAGGTAATACTTGACCGAATCCCTCCAATTCAATTTAATTTAAGTTCAATACAATTTAAATCTCTCTTATTCGCAAATTTTCTGGAGGAGCCTCCCGTATTCAAAATTCAAAATATTTTTGCTATTGAATATAAACTAAATTTCTTAATATTCTGGAGAACAAGAGCAAAACATTAAAACATTTGTTTTATTCTCTTCAAATGGGATAAGACCTATTCTGGCAGTTATACGACATCCATGAGTAGTGAAAATTTGCAAAAAGTTGGACGGAAAAAATATTCTGGAGAACAAGAGCAAAACATTAAAACATTTGTTTTATTCTCTTCAAATGGGATAAGACCTATTCTGGCAGTTATACGACATCCATGAGTAGTGAAAATTTGCAAAAAGTTGGACGGAAAATAAGTTCCAATGATTAAAACCTAACCAAATAAAGAAGCATTTCCCGCAAAATTAAAAACTCTCGAATCTAATTTTTTGGGGTCCCTTCAAGTTAGCTTTTGAGAGCTTTAACTGTATTTCACACTGCTGAAATACGGTACTGTAATGATGAAGAAATTGGCAAGAAAGACATTCTCAAATCATAGCTGCAATCAAAAAGAATATTATCCGTCAGGATAATTCTGCCTCGGGAACCTTCATGTAACGGCCCTTCAACTTCGAAGTACCCACATGGTTCTCAAACAATCACTCGTTCAAGATGAAGGTTCTTATATTCCACGTCGAGCTTTAACTTCCCATTGATTAATCTGAAGGAACCTTGACGGGATGCAGCCAATGAAGTCATAATTAAATTTTTGAATGTCTGATCGCCACGCTGAAGCATGATGTTTGCTACTCGTACTTGCGTAAACCCCGGCTAGATGTCGCTCGGATACTCAGAACCAGATCAGGAGGACAATGCTCGCGACGATTCCTTCCCGCGGCGGCGAAAATAAAAGCCTCTTCCCGTTGTTATTACATCACAATTCCTCTTTGTTATTCTTACAGAGCAGAAGAAGAATAAAAGCAACATGAGGCCTCCTGATTTTCTTGAGTTGCCAGGAGCCGCGGCGGTTAATACGGGCAACGATGATGATGATGATGATGATGATGACGAGGGGCCAGGCCGACAAAAAAGGCCCCGCCAGTGAATGCTAATTTTAAATTTCACGCCCTGGAGTCCTCTCTTTTTTTCTTTCTTCTTGTTCTGTGGGTCCTCGGAGTTGTTGCACGTTGCGGCTTTTTTGAAAAAGATTCAAGGGGTGTTTGTAGGCTGTTGGGCGGGGAAGAAGCAGCCGAAAAGGACCGACGATTTTTCCGCATCAGGGTCGGAGTTCCTTTTTTCTTTCCCCCTGGGGGCGAAAATCAAATCCCTCCTGGAAGGCTATTAGACCCGCTAAATTTCCCTTACTTCGAAAAGCGGAGAAAAAAAAAGAAACCTTCTCCGACTCGCACGGAAAATCTTTACACACATGACTATATAAACCGTCCTTGAATAATGATTCGTAACACCGGAAAAAAATATATGTGCTTGTTTCTGTCAATAACAGCAGAGAGAACTCGTTCTGCAGGAATCATTTCTCTCGGGTCCAGATTCTGCTGGTTGGTTGCGTGGTTAATCTTTTAGGAAAAAATGATTTCGAAATTACGTCGTATAATCCTGGTAATTTATTTGAGGATCCTGCTATTTATGAAACGTGCTCGAGTGAATGTGAAATAATGTAGACCCCGACTCGTGTTGACAGGGTGTAATTTTTGGCTCGGAAGTTTTCCCAAGTTATTCTATATATGTGAGCACCTGATGACTGCTGCTGCGGTTCAACATTGAAGACATTCCTGTTGAAACCTGATAGTTGTTGAGTTTCCATAGAATAAAAAGATTCCATTGATTTATAAGTGATATTCTGCATTTCATATTTCCGAGAAAAGAATTCTGAAAAATATCTTGAGAATTGGATTTTAATTTATATTTGGAGAATTCTTCTTGATGAATCATTCGAAGTCGTGCTGGCTCGTCTACACATTGATACGCGAATGCATTTTCAAATTGTACTGTACAGTACTTAGAAGGTGAATACTGCATTTAGATGTAGATTATTTTGGCTAAATCCTGGGTATAATTCCCAACTTTACTTCATTGAAAAATCCGTTGTTCCCGTGGAATATACTGCATCAAACTTCTCACGCCAATAATCGGTGCACACAAAAAGAACGGTTGAGCATTGTTTTTATTTTATTGAGAATCCAATTTCTTCTTTGTTTCATTTTGAAAAATTTTTTTAGTCATGAACGATCACTTGAATTTCAAATCAGAGGCTTCTTCATAAGCCAAAGACCTCGTCGAAGGCTTACATAGCGACGAAATTAAATTTTGAAGAGAGCATTCACGCGAAAAATTGTAACCTTCTCCATTTGAATAATTGAGTTTCCTCCCATCAGGAACTCAGCTGTGTTGCCGTGTTGATGGACATCAGATGGGAAGCGGTCCGAATGGATTTGAACAGTTTGCGAAGCAATTTCACCATTAAAAGAATTTAAAAAAAGAGGGACCATCCAGGAAATGGAAGGGAAAATTGGACAGGAAATAAGTGAGTTAAGTTTGTTGGCTCATCGCGTGCTTTCCGTGTCAGGAGTTGTTTTCTCCATGAACGAGTAAAATCGTTTTGGGAACAGCAACAGCTGGCAACAGCCGGGAAAGCATTTCTGCGCGCTTACCAACAAGGCTCATTGTCGAATAATTTACAAGTGCAATACTAGCAACTGTGTGTTACGGAAATTTTTAGAACCCAGTAAAAGAAAAAAACGGGAAATAATTGGAGAGAAAACGAGAGATTCGCATCATTGCACGCGAAGTGGATCAAAGTGCAAGGCGTGTTTGTGCCGCTTCATTTCGACTGTATCGTACTTTAATGCAAATGATACGCGCATTATTTCCTCGATTTGATTTTGATTTTTTTTTTACGATGGCAAATCAGTAGAAAAAAGTGGAGCTCACTATGAAAGAAAAGTGATAATTTTAATTCATGGAATGCACTGTTTTCAGAATAATAAGAAGGGACAAAGTACATTAATAATAGTCAGTATTTCAGACTTTTCCTGAACTTGAACTGCTGTGTTGATCATTCCAGGTTTTTAATTTCTCCACTTCTGTGCACCATTTTTTTCCCTTCAAAAATATCCTTTTTCTACCTCAGAACCTTTAATACCTGACTCATCCATAAGGCATGCAGTTTTTAAAAAATACCTTGACTGTTACTGCTAAAAAAATTGAATGGTTTGAAATATAACACTACATTTTGCTTGTTTTTTACTTGTGGCTGGTGAAAATTTGATTTTTTTTGCCCATGAGCCTTTCTGTGCCGGTAGAGTAGTGATACTTTTGCAAAATTAATAGGCAAAGAGTACGGAAATAAAAAAAAAGACTGAGAAGCATGGCCCAAGATGAGAAAAATTCCCCGTTTTTTTTTTTCTTCCTGCAGAAATATTCGGCTCGCGAAAAATGTCATTGAGTTAAGCATGCACTTCTGCTGTAAAATTAATATTAACCCTTGGATGGCAGAGGATCTGCTGTTTCCATATCCTTCGGCAAATTTTGGACTTTTTTTTCCATTGGGCCTGCATTTTATCTTCACCCGAGGTTATGAAATCCACGCAGGAGTAAGAGGGCAAAGTCAGAATAATTCATCCCAAAAAGAACAACTACTAATATTTTCCTAATTTGGACTTTTTTCTGCAATGAATTCTAACCTGACATCTTGGCGTAATTCAAGCTCGAGCTTACAATTTATTTTTGAATGTAGCAACAACACAAGCCCAAAGAAAAAAATGGAGTCTTGAAGACTCAATTTTTTTCATATCTGAATGAAATTTTCTGTGTGCAACAAAAAATTCAAGAATTTTCCCTTACTTTTCCCATGCAGCACGCAATTTTTTCCTCAGTCAATCTTTGCAGCACACAAAATTTGCAACAGAAAAGTCTGACATATAATATAGCGACAGAAGGGCTAGACTTCTAAAATAAAATAAGACCCTTCTTCTCCCAGATTTTTCTGACTTCGGCCTTTTCATCCCAGGGTGCATTTTGATGACTTCAGATCAAACCAAATTTCTCCCCTGTGTGCTAAAAATAAAAAATAAAAAATAAAAAATAAAAAACAACTGCGCTGATGAAGGTCAGAAAGGAAGACCCATCACCCTCCAACGGTGTCCACCAGAGGATATATGAGATAACAGAACATAACTTTGAAGAAGCCCACGTTTTCGGCGAAGGGACTTTACAGCTTTTAAATGTGAGAAATATCAAAGAGATGACAGGGAGATTAATGAGGGTCGTTGCAGGCAATAAACGGTGGAAAGCGTGTGTGCAGAATCGACAGCGCTTGACCGCGTGCGGCGCAATTGATTTTTCAATCTCCATCGCCTCTCCATCATCACCCACCACCACTGCCACCACCACCACCACCACCACTACCACCACCACTGGAACGATCCAGTCAACGGCTGTACTCAAAAAATAAAAAAATTAGAAGAAGAAAAGTTGTGCATTTTTTTTGACATTATAAGGAATTGCTGCTCGTATATGTCGCTGTGGCTGCACGTGGAGCAGTAAATGCACTCTCTTGCCACCACTAGACACGAATCTCCGCTTTATTCCGGCCCGATTTATTTTATTTTTTATTTTTTTTGCTGGGGAGGTGGGTTTGCACCACACACACGTGCTGATGGGCTCCACTGTGGAGCCTCATGACAGCACGGCACGTGCTTTTGAAAGCGATTTGTGCCGCAAATTTCACTCCAGGCTTTTTAGAAAAATAAGAAATTTCCTCAACACCCTTAATACTGTACCTCTATTCTTTCCGGTTGTCGCGTTCAATGAGAAATAAAAAGCACTAATGGAGTTTCCGTCTACTTGAAATTCACTAGGATGACATCGATTTCCGTGAATTAAAGCCGGGATCATCGTCAATGAGTAATTACAGTGCAGTATTAATAAAAGCAATTATTACCTGCTGGAACATTAAGGTCACGTCCGATTTACTTTATGGTGTCGCATTTTCAACGAACGGGCATTTGAAATTAGAGTGGGGAATATATAAGCGCGGTTTTTAAAAATTTAGGAATATACAAGGTTCGATTAATACGAGGAAACAAAAACGCGGTTCCGCCACAAACCGCGTTTTTTGTTCCCCTCGTTTTTATGGAAACTTCTTCGTGTTCAAATGTGTCCATTTTTCCCAACGTTTGATTTTGTGCAAATTATATTGAATATTTGATTTTATACAAATGCGTATCCTCGAAAATATGAACATGGCTTCATTTGCGCTGCTGTTGCATTTAAAAAAAAGATTCAGGTTCCGAAAGTTGTTACGCTAACGCCTGCTGGAATTTTATAAAAGTTTTAAATTTGAGTTGAAGCTTGAATTTTTTAATCAATGCAGCGTAGGAAATTAGGGTATACAGTAGTTCTGTTCTGTCCAGTTGTAAAATCTTCTGAAGTTAAGAAAACTAAAAATTGAGCATTGTTACCTGTATTCCTAATTTTTGTAAAAATAAAAACAACGAGAAGTGCCTTACGTTCGCGGAATTTTTAAAAAACTTCTCTAAACTTTCCCTCTTTCCTCGTGAAACTGCCTGTGGAGTTGAAGCCAAAAATTAAATACAGTATATTGTACATGTATGCTTCGCTGTGAGATTGGAAACCATGAAACATAACACTGTACTGTTAGTCTGTTACTGTTGCACACGAATTTTGCAACTGTGCAGGTGCCTGTCGCCGGCGTTAGCAGCGACACCTAGGTGAATCTGAATTAAATTTGTACCAACCTCGCGAGCCCTTGAAGTTGTGGCGAACGAATAACTTGCAAATTGCTTGCTGGATAACCCGAACTGTGTTCAGCGGAAAATTTCATGAAAAAGCAAAAAAATTATTTTGAGCTCTGAAATTTGTATAATGGATGAAATTTCGATTTCAGAATATACCTGCTCAAAAAGCATGGATTACATGTGTGCTTGACAGAGTTGTGACGAGATGTGCAAGCGCGAGCAATGCGGTTTGCGTTGATAATACTGCCTTATTCAAACGTGGATTCAGTAGTAAAAAAATTACGAATATGAAAACCATTCGTGAGGAATAATCAATAATTTTTTTACAACTCAACTCCAGTTTTTTCAAACATTCGAAGGCATGCATCGTAGTACGTAATTGGAATCAATATCCAAGATTCAGCTCCCAAATCAAAATTTTTGAAAATTTTATCCGTGAATTTCTTTGAGTATGTTTCTTAAAATTTTATAAATCGGCTTTTGGAATAATACTACATGATGTGGGTGAAGCAAAACAGATGATAAACCTAAGGTCGAGCAATGGAACAGTTCAGCAATCGATGACGTTGACGAAAACTATCGAATAATAGCTAAATTAAACCACTTTCGATGAATGCCAAATTATAGATTTAAGTACTCACTTCATTCGATTCACATAAAAACTTTTGCTTAATTTATATCCCATAAAAAGAGAAATGCAACAGGAAAGTGGAATTACGCGAAAGCCGTAAAATTCCTTTCAATATTCTCTAGCCCATCAAGAAACAAATAAAATATTCCAGAAGTTGCCGGAAAACTTTTTCTGGGCAATCGCAAAATTTTTTGCGGCTGACCGAAATTAATTTGAAGCCGCAAAAAAGTATGAGGAATTTCATCGTATATGCGCCCGTGTAAGAAAGCAAGTGCCAATATTTTCTATGCCTTTATTCTACGGTATTTCAATTCGCGGGCTGATCATTCCAGTTAATTCGAGTTAAATAACTGTGAATAATAGAAGAATAAGGTACAGTATTTATTATCTAAAAACCCCTAATTTATTGTGAATAAAATTATTTATTTTATGGATGATGAAACTGAAACAGTTCAATAGACGCCGAATTTTGAACACGCGTCCATTGTACTCTGGTGAAAGTTCTTAGTGCAAACTGGTACTATACATATTGACGTTCTTGAAGCTTCTTTTGTAAATTTGAATCTAGATAAAATAACAATCGAAAGCCCACCAACGGTATTCAATCCCCACAAAAATTCCTCTGCTCCTTGAAAAAAGAAAGAAAATCTCTGCAGATTTTCGCAAACAAATTTGTAATGAAACCCTGACTTATTCGGATCGGATTTGCGAATTAGACCTCCATGGAAGACGGAATATAGAAGCTACAGTGGGGATAGAAAAGAAGCTATATACTGTAGTATCCTCTTTTCATATTAAAAAAATACGCACATAGGAATAAAAAGACAATTTATCACATTGAAGAAGAAAAAAAAACAAGCAGGGAAGAGGTAAGTTGAGGCCAAACAAGGGGGTTTTGGCTAATGCGGAATTTCCGGTGCTGGCGGAATCAGAGACAATGTTTACTCGGATGTTACGGGCGCAGCGGTCGACAACGAATCTTTTCTTCTCCCCCACTCGCCCATTCATTGTTCTTCTCGAATTTCAAAAAAAAAATAAGCAGGAACTGTGACGAATTTTTCCCGGGGAACCTCAATGTTTAATCCGTGCCATAACGTTTTTTCGCTTTTTATTCAAATTTTACCCCGTATTTAATTTATGAAAGAAAAAAAACTTTTCCGGGAGCTCGAAAACTCTTGGATATAGGAGAGATGATCCAATTTTTACAAAGCCGCGTTTCTTTCTTTTGGTCGAATCTGTTCTCAGTCTCAATAAGTTTCGCGAAAGTGCGAATTCTTAAAAATTAAAATGATTTAAATTGCAGGTAAAGTTCACCTGAAATGTTCTGTTATGGTAAAGCTCAACCAAAAAAAAAAAAGAGAAGCACTTTTAAATCCTTCAAAAAATGAATTTATTCCTAAACATTTTATGATTCGTTTCTATCCCATGAACCAAATGTTTTGTTGACCCACAGCATGGTTTTGTCTTGAATATTAAAAAGTTCCGTTTCCAACTTTAACAAAAAAAATACAGCTTGTTGTTTTTGGGAATTTTTTTTTTATATTTCTTCAATGCCCGAAAATAAAATATGTAACCGCAGTCATAAGGTTTCACTTCAAATACATTTCTTCATGCATCACAATCCTGAAAATTAAATTTGCGCATCGTTTCCATCGTGGACAATAAGGAGAGCACAATTTGACACAAATTTAGAGGAGCACAGCATATAATGATCATGATCAATAACCCTGTCCTTTCAATTAGTTCACTTTTTACTCCTCAAAAATATTCTTCAATCACGAAAAATGAGCGAATTGTTCGAAAGCATATTCTAAATCGCTGGGAAACCAGAGAATGGAGTGAATCCCTTAAAAACCGCAGATTGAATTGAGGAAAATATTCCGTAAAAACCAACTTTAATTTTGAATGTCTCTTTGAGCAAATTTTTCCCTTGAGATTATCCAGGATTTTTGCTGGTAATGCCGTTTTTTGCTGATTTTCAAATCACAGACGCGAAGAAAATTAAAAAAAAAGTCTCAAAAAGTGGTAACAGAATCCATTGAAGATTTATTCCAACATATGCGATCATCATTCTTGCTTCTGTTCGGATCAACTCACTTCATGTGCAACTAAGAGGATCAAAAGGAATCGACACAAAAGTCAGGTACATGTTTTCCCTTTTGTTTGCCCCCATCTATATATTGTATGGGGGGTTTTTTGGAAGCGGGGGTTTAAAGCCTCTTCAACAGCTACTTAGACCACCTGCAAAGCTGAAAGTATATGCCATTATTTGTGTGAGATTTTGAGCGTTGTGTGGTCTGACTGGCTGTGAAAACAGGAGGAAAGAAACCTGCTGCCGTGCTTCGTGTGCAAAACAAATTAAAAAATAAAGTTGAGGATAAATTCTTCGAGGATTTGAGGAAGTACAGCTCATCCTTACAAATAAACAAGCCCTCTTTTCCGCTCAAATCCGGGTCCCCTTTCAGAAGCGCTGTTCCATCTTTTTATATTTTTTCTTCGACTCAATCAAAAATCTAGGATTTCGAATGAAAGCTGGTGATTTCGGAGTAAGGAAAAGCTCAAAAGGTTTGCTTACATCGTGATCCCAGGAAATATATACGAAGTCGCACGATTATATTGCATCCCAAAACTGACCCGCGATTCATTTTCGGGGTGGGTTGTTTTCTCCCAAAAACATAATAAGGGAATTCACGATATAAATTTTAGTGTTTTAAACGAGAGAATAAAATTGTAGGTACATTGTTTCATCAAATCAGTGGCCAAAACTGCAATTGATATCGATATTCACGTAGAATGCATTATACTTTTCCGTATCCCAATGGAAAATCGCGCTCCAAATTTTTGCTCACGAAATTTTTGACAGTCTTCTCAATGATTTAAAGCCTCATTACAATATAATTTGACTTGTGTAATGCATGCAATTTTTCTAGCCAAAATATGGAAAAACAAATGTGCAATGTAAAAATTATCTGTACACCACAGTTGCTCAATTCTTCTGTAATACCATATTTACTGGAGTACCAGGAGCACCTTTTTTCTCAAATTTCAGAAGAAAAGGGGTGCGCATACAGCAGATACAAATTTTTCAAGAAGTTTTAGGAAGTTATGTGCGCATTATACTTAATTATATTGGAGAAATTTCAAACAAATGTAGCAAGAAAACTTTTTTGTGCTGGAAAAGTTGAAAATTGATCTGATTTTTGTTCAATTCATGTCTAAAGTCAAATTTTTTGAATTTGTTTCCACAATTTTGTGGTTTTAGATTCACTAAAAATTGGGGTGCACGTCTTACTTGGGTATAAGCTTTTAGCCAAATTTCCAACTGAAACCCCTTGTGCGCGCTTTACTGGAGGGTGTGTGGTACTTGAGTAAATATGGTATTATCACCTTTTTGGGATGTGATGCATGCTTAATTTTGGTATATGTCTTATATTTAAGGCCTCACATAAAAAAAATTCAATGTGTCATTTCAAAGAAGAACCAATAGGTATGATATCTCAACAAATATGTTTTCTATAACGATTTTCTCTGTATAGCGGTTTTTTTTGTGTGTCTTACTTGGCTTTCTAGTCTGTAAATCCCTACTAACAATCAGGGTTCTCTAAATCGAAATGCATCGAATTTCTCTGGTCCTCTGAATTTCGTTTCAGAGAGAGTCCACCTGCATTAATTTGTTGACAAGGGAGATTTTAGTTTCAGGCTATTTTTAAGAAAGTTTGAAGGGTTGATTAGCCACCGATTTTTTATTTTTTATTGGAGCATTGTATTCAATAAAGCCATTGAGACTTGGAAAGCAATTTTTGTATATTTTGTATCCAGACTCAAATAAAATTTTAGCCAAATTTCAAGAACATCACAAGATGATTTCTTTTTAACCATTGGACTGCAGAGGTTTCTTTCCCATTGCTGGCCAAAATTGGATTATTTTTGTATGCTGGGGCCTTTTAAGTTTTCTGAATGTCATAGAAAAGACGGTCTAGGTGGGCTGAGGCAAAGTTGGGATTAATCCAAGAAAAACCCATTGCTTAGCATAGCATTTTTTTCATTTTCCCATGAAATTTTTCTGTGCAAAAAGAATAAATATTGAGATTTTTCTTGACTTCGTCCTCAAATCCCTGTTGTCCTTTTTTCATTTTCTGCCCTGAGGTGCAACAAAATTTTGCAAAAATAGTCCGACTTTGCCACCCAAAAGGGTTAACATATATTGTATTTTGACAATTATTTCGTTCTTCAAAACTGCTCACAGCATTTGCACCTCATTTCTGCTGGGTAACGAATCGCATATATTCTAAACGTAGGACTCACATTTGTTGCAACAGCTCGAAATAGAGTTCATTTTTTGGTGGAGAAAACGTGTTTCTATCAATGTCGGGAAATTCTTTTGGACAGCATTGGAAGGAAATAGGTTCAGTGGGACGAGGAACCGACACACGAGGATGATTACTTATCACGATTGCTCGTATAACAGTAGTGATGATGATCAAGGTTGATGTGGATCTGAGTGGTGGGATAATTGGAGCAGATGCTGTTGCTGCTCTTGTTGCCGAAGGGTGATGTGTGGGGTATGTTTTTGTACGTCTGTGTGTATGTGTGTGTGTGTGTGTGNGGCTCAATTTTGAATAGCCCCTGAAAAAAAAACACAGAAATTAGGTGCATTTCTGCTCCGTATATCGATGATTGTTTGAATGCGTGTCTCTGTTTTGAAGATTTGCTGGATTGAATCTCTTGTTCCTGATGCTGATGATCACTGATGTTTTTTTTCGTGTCAAAAAGTGTCACGTCTGAAAATGCTATGACTCATTTATTTTGACGATTTACTGGATTGAATCTGATGTTCCTGATGCTGATGATCACCGACGTTTTTTTTTTTCGTCCAAAATTATCACGTCTGAATTTACTGTAGCTCACTTTTGAATAACTACCCCCACACCCCCTAAAAATATAGAAATTATGCACATGCTTCTTTTGGGGAGCAATGAATGTCAAAATGTGTGTCTATTTCGAAGATTTTCCAGATTCTCCTCTTCGCCGGTGATAAATACCTCATTGTTCAAATGTATTTGCTGGAAATTTATTTGCATCATTTTACAATATAATTTTTCCGCTTCCTGATGCAGCATTATCCAGTAATACTAATTACAGTATATGCTAGAATAATAATGCGCCTGATGCTTTCCTATTCTCAACATTGCGAGAAATTCACAAATTTTGAACTGATAAATGGGTTTCCTCTCTTTATTCTAAATTTCCTGTAAAAGTGTCACATATCGAGATCAAGGATCAGAGAAAATCCTCAGCGTTGAGACACACAACTGAACAACACCTTTCGAAAAATCCATGAAAGCCAAGCTTTCTTACAGTTCGAGAAAATGGCAAAAAGTGACCAGGAATCAGTCAATATTAAATGGTTTGCGGGTTGGGGAATACTCTTGTAGAGAACCTGCAGGTAAAAAAAAAAAACACTTTTTATAACTAAAAATTAGGTGTAAAGTGATTTGAATAAGATTGTGGCTATTGGGCAGCATAGGGACCTGCAATAGAACTTATTTTATATAACCCCGGATTGGTTTCAACAATATTTATTGTAAAAAGGTTCTACCATGTGGACCACAAGGGAATTGCCTGACTGCGAGTTCTGGGTTCTTCAGTTGATTTGAACATCTTTGTTGGGATTCTTGAAAAAATAAAATTTACCTCAGGACGCAAAATTCATTTTGTTGTTAAAAAACCTCTGAGACAAGAATAAAAAGCGTTTTTCTCACAAATCGGGCAAAAATCGCAATTAAAAATGTAAAAAGAAATAAAAACACGCGAAGAGCTGAGCTACGATTTTCAACTAAAAATAGGGTTTAAAAATATTCCCATAACGGTACAATTCATCCCCATATGTGCCCTAGAAAAATGTTTTTAAAAAAATCGTTGGGGTTCTGTTGGTGCTGGTGGGTTTGCATTTCCAATACATAGCCCATGCTGGCGTGACGAGATGACGGCAAATATAATCGGCACTCCGGCGGCGTCCGTTTTCCGCCCCCCATCAGCATGGGGTTCTATTTTTCGCCTCGTATCCTCGACTGACAAAACTCGCCATTTCCCGGTGTGCAACCCCCACACCCCCACAGGTTCGGGGATTTCCTTCTTTCGCATATATTCGGTAAACTTTTTTGTGTGTTTCAGGTGCCATTATTATGACAATTTCCCCGAGACCTTATCCCCCTCTCACCCACACTTTTCTTCCACCCCAGTGACGCGGGGGTAAGCAGGTCTGTGAGCTGCAATTATCCTCACCTGCTTTCCGCGTATTTTCGTCGCGCTTCCTGTTGTTTTCCCTAATTGCCAAACAATGATAAGCAACCAGGCGCAATCTGGTGCCTCATCGCTGTTGACGGAAATCAGTCTTCCGCCCCCACGAGCGTTTATATTCCCTTGCATCCTCTCTTGTCTCCCCTCTCTTTAGTATTTTTATTTTTATTTTTACGATCGGTTTCTCACTTGTGCATAATTCATCACTTGGCTTTTGTCCGAAAGCTTATCTTGCAAGTAATTAGACTCGGTGTTGACACAACAATACATCTTCTGCATGGGCACAGGAGTTCGGAAAGAAACCTTGAAAACAGCAGCGCGGTTATTTTTTGGTAGATAATCTAGGCGTATTATCGTAGCCATTTTTCTGTA